CCCTTAGAAAAGGCTAACCCATGGAGATTCAACTCTCCTGCCCTAATCACATCCCAAAGTTGTTATCTTTTAAAAATGTTATCATCTGGGAAGAAGCAGGTTTAAATATGCAAAATTTCAGGAGACACTAACACTGGGACCATAGCAGCAACACTGGTACATCAAAGAAATCCTTGACCATACTTGAATTTTAACTTAAGCCCTTTTCCTCTAGCAAGATCAACACCAGAAACACTGCATTGTTCTTACTCTGCTATTATCTCAATTTCCTCCCTTAACACCATCATTCTCCCTGCCTCACTCATTTCCTACAACTGTAACAGCTTTTCGGATTAACCTGAATCTACTTAGGTTTCTGTTTTCCTCATGATTAGATGACAGACTGAGAACGTGAGTTCTCATGCTCAGACAGAAAGTGCCTTTCTCTACCATCACATTATGGAAGACACTTAATTTTTTTTTCTAAAGATTTATAGTTTTCTTTTACGTGTGGAGTGTTTTGCCTGTATAAATGTATGTGTGCCATATGAATGCAGTGCCTAAGGAGGCCAGAACTGGAGTTGCAGCAGGTGTGAGCTACCATGCACTGAACCCAGGTCCTCTGAGCCATTTCTCCAGCCCCTTGAAAGGCACTGCTGTTTACCGTGGATGGGATGGTATCTGCCAGCATTCTGTCTGGTAAAGTTACTATTTTTTCCTTTTCCATATTTTATTCTTTGGAAGCAAGTCACTAAAACTAGGCTACACTAATAGTTGACAGTGCCAGCAGTTGAGAACTCTTGAAAAAAAAAATTCTGTATGAGTGTACATTTGATCTGAAGGAATTTCACTGACTGACAATACAAACTGAAGATGGAAGAGATAAGCAGAAGGCAATGGGAGACAAATAGCTGCCTAGGTTTTCCCCCAAGGATTATGGTGCATTTGGATTAAAAATGCCCTTTTAAGTAGTCTGTGAGATTTTGATGGCAGTAACTAGCCTTTCTGCTCTTAGAACCATCCAAGTAAGAATAAGAAACAAAACTGTAAATGTCAATTTCCCAGAAACAAAGAAAAATGTGAAATTCCAATCCACAACATACAAGGAAGGGCTTTCAAGTACGGAGAAGGTAAATGGCACACACACAACTGAGTGGATGGATGCCCAGCCTGGCTGCTCTCATTCAACAAGGAAAAGAAGTCACACAAAAGGAGAAAATAAAAAATTGCACGCATAAAAAGCATAAATTACCATTATTTGTAGAATAATGCCTTTGAATGTTACAAACGAGCAATCAGTACAGTAGCCAGGCACAAATTAGCGTAAAGAATAATCACACAATGAAAAAGATGATTTGTAGAATATAAATGAGTTTCATTAAAATCTCTTCTGTTTTGTAGTCTAAATGTTCTTAAACTCATTCTTCAGCCAAGACCATCCTTGAGCTCTCATCTTCTGCCCTACTTCCTAAGCACTGGGTTACAGGAATGCACAATCACAGTAGGGCTGTAAATGATAAATTAGCCTATCATGAATTCCAAAAGAAATAACTGTATTAATAGTAATAGCACCATCCCTAATAAGAATAACCATATTAAGATATTGTAAATCAGCAATGAACATCAGCCAGAAAAACAATTTTGAGGAGAGGCTACACAGGGGAGGCAGATCTACGGGACTGCTGGGCTGGTCAAGGCTGGTGTAGCAGTTCTCAAGCCATGTATCATGACCTCTTTGGGTCACCAAAGACCACAGGAAAACACAGATATTTACATAATGGTTCAGAGCAGCAGAAAAAAATAGTTATGAAGTAGCAATGAAATAATTGTATGGTTGGGGTCACCCCAACATGAGGAACTAAAGGGTTGCAGAATTGGAAGGTTGAGAACCACTGCTACAGTGAGACTGCCTAAAAGAACTATTTGACACCTAAGAGGTAAAATTATAGGGATAGAAAAGTAATCAGTAGTGGTTTATTAAAAGGAAAAGTTATAGGGATAGAAAGATATTAGTCAGTGCTAATTTGGGGTGAAGGGCATTTTGAGTGTGGTAGAGCTGTGATAAAGGAATGTCATCTACGTATCTGTTAAAGCTAAGGAGTATAAACTATAATGAACTAATTTTACATATGTAAGTCACAAGCTAAAAAGAAAAATAACCTATGTGCTAACTCTGAAAAGTAGTAAAAGATCAGCTTCAAGCATGTCGAAACAGACAGACAGATCCACAAAGTCGAAAAACAGACCAGAATCTATAAAGAAATTTAGCATGCAGCATTGGAAATCCAAAGGGATGTAGTCTGGAATACACAGTGCTTGTTGAGTAGCATCCTGGAAGCAAAGAAAAACTGGATCTCTCTCCACCTTTCATCAAAATAAGTTCAAGGTGAACCCTGTCTAGATAAAAGTCAAAAAATATTTAAACATTATTTTACACAAAAAGACAAGTCTTCTAGAATCACAGAATTATAAACCTTCTTACAATAACATAAAAGTTTTGAAGCCATCAAATAAATATAAAAATAAACAACTTCTGCAAGTGTGTATCATCTGCTATCATGAGTTTAAAAACACTACTGTGTGTATATACGTATGAGAATGTATGATGCGCTCCAAAGAGCAAAATGCTGTTAAAAATGCCTCCGGGAAAGGAGACTGAGACACACTAAAGTTGCGATTGACCAAATATGATTAATAATGTTCATTTCCAGAAATATTTTTTGTTGTTGTCTGCTTTGAAACAGCAGCAGAATTTGGAATCTACCATAAAAATGTTCTTTCCCAAGAAGTGCGTGACCCTCCTGAGAATCTGGCTTAGAGTTACACAGATAAACCCCAGTCCTAGTACTGTACCTGGTATACAGGAGGGCTGTTAGAAAGCAGCGGGCTACTTTGATTCTCTTCAGCCCATGACAAATAATTCCTTTGCAATACCAAAGTTCCAAGTTCTATATACCATGCTACTGCACACCAAAATGTAAAAAATTTCCATTTTTCAAAACTAATTGGAGTTGGTCAACATTCAAATTAGTTTGTATCAGTAAGTGTCATGTAGGCCGTTTAACAGCTGATCACAGGCCTTAATGTGGTGATATACGCCTTTAATTCCAATGTTTAGCAGGCACAGATGATCTCTGAGTTCAAGCCTAGCCTGGTCTACAAAGTGAGTTCCAAGGGAGACAGAACTGCATTGTGAGATACCAACACAAACAAATGCCACCTGACCACACTTCCATCATACTCACAGTCCAGGTCAAGTTCGCTCTTTTCTAATTCCTGCACACAACCTCACTGTGAAGATAATGTTTCTTCTGCAGAGACCTTACCCTCATCTCCATTGACTGAAATTACCCTGCTACAGGGACAGTTCACATCCCACTCATATCAAAGCTCTTTGCAAATGTGAACTGGCATTATATACACATGCTCAGGAAGGTAAAAAAAAAAAAATGATAAAGTGACACAAAGTCAGAACGTTCAACTTAAAAAGTTATTTATTAAACAAGTTAAATACAAATAAAGTATATTTAAAAGTCCAGCATTATTGGATCCCTTTTGAAACATATCTGAGATCAAGAATTTAGTCAAACGTTTAGTGACAAGGGAAATGATAAAAACTGAATAGATATGAAACCATTTTTTAACATAGAACCTGATAAACACAGAAAACAAAAACAAAACAAACAAACCACACAACCATACAAACTGTTAACATATGATTCCAAAGCACTGCACACGTATCTTAAGCTGCTGCTGGTGTGCTCCAATGTTGGCCACATTCTCTATGTTCAAGCTAGTAAACAACAAATAAACATAGCTTTTCAAAGCATCGTGTCTGTTATATAGAGTGACCTTATTATCTTGCTTTTTTGATACCAATTTTTCCATATCTCAGGCTGTTCTGAATGATCTTCTTGCCTTTAATCTCCTAAGTGCTGGGACAACAGGCATGCTCCACCGTGCTTGGTTTATATAGAAAGTGATTTTAGAAAGAGTACGTGTTATGTGTGTAAACTGTCTACATTCAGCAAAACATACTTTACATATGAACACATTCACTTGGACTTAATAGAAGACAAAACAAAATGTAATTTAAACATCTTGATTTGAGACTAATGGTGGGTCTGACTGTTCTGCTACACTGCAACATCACAATCACCAAATGTACTATCAAAAGATAGTTACTTTAAATTTTTTAAAAATAATTTCTTTCAAAACTTTTTGTACTTTAGGGTAAAAGGAAATATAAGATTCTCTGCTCATAAATGACAGTGCTTAGTTTCTATGGCTAACACAAAAGCAGTCGAGAGGGATGAGTCCTACAGAAAAGCCTCTCTCTCCAGCATTTCTAAGTGGTGTTATTCAGCATTTCATGGAAATGCTGGGTACTCCAGATCTGGCAGTTGCTTCTGTTGAATGTCCTTCTGGCCCATGACATCCATCAAAGGCTTTCAAGCATACCTGACTTGGGCAGTCCACAAGAGACCAGCATGTGAATGGGCCTGCAGTGGACATGAAGGCTTTTATTTAAAAAAAAAAAAAAAAAAAAAAAAAAAAAAGTCACTCTGTGTTTTCAGAAGAACAGAGGGATGGAACAGTTCATCTAGAACCAAAACACACATTCCTATTTAGATCCCAGTTATTGAAGTAACAGAAATCGAATGCAGAAATGGAGCATGCTCTGGTTTCTCCATGTTCCTCACTTGCATCTTTCTCCATAGAGGACCAGACTTCAGGCCCTCCTCCTGTGTGGGACTCTCAGTCAGAGAGTGAAGGGGAGCGCACAGACCTGCCACTGGCAGGGCTGGAAAAGGCAAAGGGCTCCTTGTCCTTGTCCTTGCTGTCGTGTTTGTGCTTGTGCTTGTGTTTGTGCTTGTGCTTTTTCTTCTTTTTCTTGTGCTCGTGGTGATGGTGGTGATGGTGCTCGCTGTGTCTGGAGGACATAGACTCCTTAGCAAACACGGAGAGTGGAGCCGCTACCATGGGATGCACACTCATCTCCAAAGGCTGCTCTTTACCTTCAAGATTAAAACACCAAATGAGTTTCTGTTGATAGCAAGGAAGTACAGCTACCCTCAGAACAAGCTGATGACAGACTCATGGACTATACAAATACGACAGCTAACTAGCTCAATAGAACTGCCAGCATCTTGGCCAGAAGGCAACTATTTTAGGTCCATCTGGCCTATAAGAAATTATAACATATGCTAGTACATTAGCAAACCATTCGCTGAACATTAATATTTTGTAAGTATTATGATCAAACAATGACTACCTGTATACTATATTCTAAATCTACATTGGCCAATGAAAATATAACTCCTTAAAATACTGCTCTACTCTAAACTATTATGGAAGAGGGCAGTACTTTATTGAGGCACTTGGAAAATTGTCAATATACAAACATGCTACAGTAGTTGTTGATAATGGTATCTTACTGAAAATTAAATGTTCCTTTATTTCCTTCAATGATTGCTGGGAATATATAGGTAAAGAAAACTCTGCTGGAAGATTCAGTACATACAATAAAGGACTAGAAAAGTGGAAAGCCTATGAAAGGAAATGTTCCTAAAGACAAGAGTCATGTCAGTAAAGGATAGGAACTGAAACTTGGGAGACCGTGTTACAGATCACACAGTTAGCCTTTAGTATGTACTGGATCTCATCTAAAAATTGACTCAATCACCTCAAATGCTTCCTTCAGTTATAGTAACTTGTTGACCAAGAAAACTGTGTCACAAAAATGTATATGATCTTAACTTCAATCTTAAATGAATTAAGTATGCTCCTCATGCTAGAAGTACAGAAAACCACTCATATCTCACAAAGCAGAGACAGGTAACAGGGAAAAGGAACACTGTTAAAGCCATATAAACACCCGAGCTCCCAGCTCATTGCCTGCTGTCCTCCATCACTCTGTTTGGCAACTGCCTAAAGCTAACTCTGCATTTCTAGAGCCCCAGGTCCTGCACTGCAGTTTCGTCATCACTCTAAACACTGGCCAAGCTGCTCCGGTTTCAGAAAAGTCTGCGGTGATTCTGGAAGTTGTGCTTCCAGCGGAGGCAAAGGCCAAATAGATGCTTGTGGGTTTACTCTTTTCCAGGGACTACCTACAACCACTTCAAAGCTGAATTCATCTTTACCTGCAGGCCTCATAGCTCACAATAGGATACTCTGAGTATAAATCTTGAATTTTGCTTGACTTCTATGACAACACAGGAAGTTAACTAGCTTTAAGAATCTGGGTGACCAAATCTACAGGCTCCTGTGACAAAGCACTGAGTCCAGTTTGATTCCAAACAGGTATAGAATGATCCTGATGCATTTGATACAACAACAAGGAACTTAGTCTTGTCTAACAGACTCAGGAGTCAACCTTTAAAGATGTCTAAAGATCAGAAATTTCAAAGCTAATTCTGAATAATAAATGCTATGAACTGAAACTGATCACCATTAAAGAATGCTGGTCAAAGTACTCATTGTTTTGAAAATTATTAAATGCTCAGAGAGAATTAGGTATATATCTAGACTTTCCTATATGGCTCATACTAATGAGCGATAATAAAGAGGAATTTAGCTTTATAAAAATAATACATCTTATAAATAAAAATGAAAAGATTAATAAGAACATTACTTTGTAATCCTCAATGAATTAATGCATCTGGACCTTGAGCATCGACAATAGTTAACCTCACGAAAGAGTCTAGCAGATATGGGGTTCTTCTAAATGGAGACGTACACCACTGACAAGCCTGAATCCAACGATGTGTCTAGACAGGACCGCAGTTTCACAGAAATTAAAAGGAACTCTATTATGTTAACTTTATCACATATAAACAGTAAAATATACATCTGAAAACTACAGATAAAAATATGATTTCCTTCTGTGAGTTTGAGGCCAGTCTGGTCTAGAAAGTGAGTCCAGACAGCCAAGTCTACACACACACACACACACACACACACACACACACACACACACACACAAAATGCTTAAAAAAAAAAAAAAGAAAGTTTTGAAAAACCAAAACAGGAAAAAAAAAATCTAACCAATCCATCGCAGGGGTAGAGGAAGAAAAGATATAGCTAGAATGTAATGTAAAAAGGTAATGACAAGAGAACTGCAGTGTGGACTCTCCGTGGCACTGATGGAAACAAATGCATTCTAAAAATTAAAAAAAAAAAGGACATGGTGCAGCATGGATGGACAGCAGTCACTTTTGAGCTGACAAAGACCCTTCAGTGACTTGAAACACCTTTCCTATTTTAGATAGCAGATATAGTAGAGGAAGGAGATACACTAATTCAAAATAGTGTCATTTGTTTATTTGTGTTATACAAAAGATATTCTGAATTGTTCTGCCCAATGTAACATCTTCCCTAAGACCAAACTTAAACAAATAAACAAACAAGCTGTAGTCAGCTTAACGGATGTTAAACAAACAAAAAAATGTACTTAACAGAAGCCTAACTTGAAAGCCCTAAAGTCCATCTGATAAGAATTCTTAAGAAACTGAATAATCTGCTAATTTTATTGACTTCATTTACATTAGGTGGGTGTATGTTCATATTTAAGACAAAGCCTGTAGTTTGTTATAAAAGACATGCATTCTGTTTTTTGTTTCTTTAGATTAAATTTAAAAATAAGATGTTAAAACATATCATTGTAATTTAAAGATTAAAAAAGGAAAGTCAGTCTGTTTTTCATCTTGAGTTCCAAAAGAAAGATCTCTAGGGAAAAACATCCAAGCTTCTTAAAACAAACTGTTTTAATTTCAAAGTAAGATTTTCAAGTACAGAACTGTGTTTTCTGAATTATGCAAGAAGGCATTACATAATCCAGCAGCCTGAGTTGAGGCAGCTGTAGGACTGCCACTAGGGAAACCACTAGGGAACTCCATCCGTTCCACTGCCACTCCCTCCCCTCTGTCTTCACCCCTGCCATCACTAAATAAACTTGGAAGACAGTCCTGTTGCCTCCAACCTTGTGGTGGAGAAGGGGCTCAGAGTTGGGAGGGAGAGGTTCTACAATGCTCAAACCTGTCACTCATGGAACCACACAGCCCTTCCTGTCTATTCCTGTCTATTACCTCAGGAAAGGGGAAAGGGAAGGTAATGAAGGGAACCACTCTCACACCTCTCCTTTCCCTAGCTCTGATGGGAAGCAAAAAAGAGGATCTCCCCTTTTCGACCAACTTATTTGGTATTTCTTGGTTTAGACCAACACTGAATTTCTGATATCCCAAAAGATGATCTGTGACTGATGCTCCTACAAAAATACTGTTACACCAGCTAAGAGTGACATTTGTACTCCTTGGAGTCAGCAAAATGACTTCAACTCAAAGTTGAAGATGCTTCCCACCAACCCTGACAACCTGATTGTGATCCCAGAACCCACTTGGTGGAAGGAGAGTATTGACTCTTGCAAACTGTCCTTTATGTGTGCACTGTGACATAAGCACATGTACACAAACACAAATAATAAATGTACAAATGAGAAAGGAAGTGGACTGAGAGTTCCGTTGCTTATTTGTAGTCTGTTAAAAAAGCTTTTCTTCTGTTTGGAAAAGGTACCTTTTCCAGTGTCTAAATGTGATAGGAAAAAAGCTATATTGGAAATCAAAACAAACACACATACACACACACATACCTTTAGAATACTACCCTTTGTAAAACAAAGGTCTTCTAAATTCTAAAAGTTGGTGAATTTTCACCATCTGCTCAATAGTCTTAAGGAACTAACGGCACCAACATACTTAGTGGAAGTTATAAAGGAACTCTACATAAACATTAAAAATTACAACCTAAGGCCCAGAAGGATGGTTTAGTGTTCAAGTTACTTGCACCACGCCTAACAACCAGTGTTTTAATCCTGGAACCCACATGATGGAAAGAGAGAATCAACTCTCCCAAGCTTCTCCAAACCTCCACACACAAGCTACAGCACACGCATGCCCACGCAAATACAATTTTTGTTTGTTTGTTTTTCAAGACACAGTTTCTCTGTGTAGCCTTGGCTGTCCTGGACTTGCCTTGTAGACCAGGCTTGCTTTGTATTCATTAGTGATCCGCCTGCCTCTGCCTCCCTGAGTATTGGGCATACAGGCATGAACCATGGCGCCCGGCTTTGCAACACAATTTTTAAAAAATATATTAAAGCTTAATATATTATTCAATTTAACTATTATTCTTGCTCCCTAACATGGTTATCAGCTAATCTCTACTTTCCAGGCTTCCCTATTTTCTACCTCTAGTTCTGTATTTAGCTTCCCCTGGTCTTCCCAAACGATGAGACTGGATAATACCAGGAAGAAACTACAAAAATAAAACTGAAAACTTGTTTTTCAAAGTAATACTATAACAATGATACAAAACCACACACTGTAAGTACAGGAAGATATTAAAAATTTGCTTTCTATACAGTTGATTTCTACATCACTAAGAAAATTCAAACAAATGTATGCAAATTCATTTTGGAACAGCAGTTGACTTGACTCTCAGAAATGCAGAATTGACTTTAATATCAGTAAGGAGAAGGTCAAAGAATCACTTTCAAACTAATGTTAAGAAGTTTGAAAAAGCATAAGCTATAACTTCAAGCTAGTAAAAACTCTCCATATGTAGTAAAATTTTAATATGTACAACAAATTAGCAAAATTATAACACACCAAAGTTAAGAGAATACAGGGGTTAGGGATATAGTTTAGAAAACATCTAGCATGTAGGAGATTTTAGTTCAATCTCTAGCTACACACAGTTTACAACAAGAACACAGGCAAACAGGAACACACACACACACAGTGAGGAGAAAAGGACAAGAGAGGTGAGAAAAGTGAGGAAAAAGGAAGTGGGCACCAAAGAAACAGTCTCCCAATTAGATTCCTTCTGAAATGTACTGTGTCATTTTTTTGTGCATCTATTGTACACACCGCACAAAAAGCTTTCAGCATACAACGGACTATGGTCTTAGCACTAAAGTATTTGGCTGAAGTCTACTATTAATCACAGTTGGTCCCGAGTTCCTTCCTCAAATCAATAAACATTACACTTCTGTTTTTATCATACAAAAGTATACATTACCCAGGCAAAATCCACCCACTGAAACATAAGCAGAAATCCATAGATATTTAAGGTTTACCAATGACTTTTGGAAAACCCAGTCTTCAGAAGAGAAAATTGTGTGGCTTTCTTTCCTACTCCTTTTCCTTCAACATTTGAAAACTTAATCTTTGTTTCCTGGTAGTTCATAGCATCTGGCAATTGCTATTCATTACAATCTTTGCTTAATTAGCAACAGAGGAGCACAGTAAGCAGAAGACTATGCAAAATGGGTGACTAAGTAATAAGGACAAGCCAGCTGAACTTCCTTTCCCAAGCCAGCCTACACTTGTGTGTGTTTGTACAGCTCAGAGGACAACTTCAATTCTCTCTTTCCACCATGTGGGTTCTGGGGATCAAAGTCAGGTTGTCAAGATTGGCTTTATAAAGAGTGCTTTATCTTCATGTACACCAGCATACCAGATCTCATTATAGATGGCTGTGAGCCACCATGTGGTTGCTGGGAATTGAACTCAGGACCTCTTGAGTTCAAGAGCAAACAGTGCTCTTAACCACTGAGTCATCTCTCTAGCCCCCTGTATGGAATACTTTAAATATAAGTTGTCTCTGTCTAGCACAAAGTTTTCATGAATGAAACAGCAATCCTGAGCATTAGGTGAGATATAAGTAGATTATATGAAGGTACAGTGACACAGATTATAAGGTTTGTATAGAAGTTATCATTTGACTGCAAGGCAAGACCAAATATTTAAGTTATTACAATGGGTATGCAACAGCATAATGGAAGATGATTTTTTTTTCTCATCATTGTTTGTTGTTACTTCTGTACCACAAACACAAACTTTTGAAACAGATAAACACTAATCTGAAAGTCTTTAAATTTACATAATCTAAAACCAATATATTATAAGAAAACTAAGTTCTCTATCTTCCCAGTATTTTTTAATTAATAAATCAACTCTGAATTTAGATTTGCTTGAGACAGATAAATGAACATCTAGTTGTACCTTGTCCCTTTCGAGACAGCTCCATACTCCACTGGGGTTTTGTGGTTGGTGTGATGTCACAGCCTAATGACTGCTGGGGCATTAAGGAAGACCTGGAGCTGGATGGTCGATATTTAGAAAGCCCTATAAGATCAAAAAGGGAAAATGGATTTCTTTGTTTCCTAAAGCAGAAAAAAGCTTGACAGGTTTCACATGTTAGCTTTAAAATCAGAAATAGTTCAATGCTAGTAAAACTCTAATCATAAAAAGAACACAATGTTAAAGCTACTAAAGATCACAAGTAATTTAATCCTTTGTCCTAATGCCTCAATCTGAGAAAATTCACACATGAGAGGCAATAACTTGAAAGACCTGCCAAACACATAAACCAGACCCTATACTCTGCCATAGGAGTGACTTCTTAAATTTTATTATAAATATGGCATTTGCATACAGTTTGTAAAATTTTCTAAAAGCATTTCAATTATCAAACTTACTGAATACACCAAAATTACTTAGGGATTACAAATGCATTTAAAACAATGCTCTAATGCTAAAACATTAAACAGAATTATAATAGAGTCTAGAGGTCTGATTCTAGTCCCAAACTTATGTACAAAGGAGGTAACAGTAAAATATAACAGTTTTTCATTTCTTCTCCAAGGACATTAGTGGTGTGTCAGCAGGCTTTAGCTGATCTTATGTGTGCTACTGTGTCCATTACAGTTTGCTGTTACTGGCTCAGCAGTTTGTTTTCTGTTCTGAGTGGCAGTACATGAACTCTCATGACTACGCTGATCAATAATAAAATCAGAAGTGTCCAGACCAACAGGGGCATAAACTGCAACACAGAAACCCAATATGGAAAGCAAGGCAACACGATTCCTCCCAAAGAGACTACCTCCTCACCTATTGAACTCAAGACACTGAAATACCTAAAATTTTAACAAGCAAAAATGATGACTGGCCTTGAATATGGTATGAACAAGCAGATGGAGAAACTCAGCAACACAGAGAAGAAAGTTGATAAAGCAGAATGGAATTGAGTAATATAGATTTAGGAAGTCAGCAGTGTAGAAGAAAATTTCAGGAAGGAAACTAAGATTTAAGAAAAAATGCAGGAAATGAAAAAAATGAATTAAATAAAAACTACAGTGACATTTTTAACTAAAAGATTCAACTAAGCAGAAGAATGAGGATAAGGATGGAAGACTAGGTTGATGGAGGAAAAGGTTCTGTTGCCAAGCCTAAAACCTGACTACAGTTCCTGAGACCCACATGGTAGAAGGGAAAGAACTGACTTCTACAAATTATACTGTAACTTCCATATGTGTAGTGAGGTATGCACACACACACACACACACCAATCACACACTACAAAGAAAATAAATACTGAATTCAAATACTAATAAATAAGGAGGGGGAAAAAAACAAAAAGCAAAACAGCATGATTGCAATATCTAAGAACTATGGCATATAAGAGATAAAAATCTTAAACTGGAGAGATAGCTCAGTGGTGAAGAGCACTGGTTGCTCTTCCAGAGGCCCTGGGTTCAATTCCCAGTGCCCACATGGTCGCTCACAACTGTCTGTAACCTCAGTTACAGGGGATCTGACACCCTAACACAGACATACATATAGGCAAAAACATCAATGTACATAAAATAAAAATTAAAAAAACACTAAATTTTTTTTTAAAAAAGATAAAACCTAAGAAGAATATCCACAGACTAGAAGGAAGAATTGAGACTAAACACTAAAGATCAAATCTCAATGAAATTATACTAAAGAATCCCTCAAATATAGAGAAATAAGACATCCAAATACAAGAAGCTGAACTAGACATGAGTGGAGAATACCCTCTCCATGATATGTAACAGTGAAAATTTAAAACATAGAGAGCAAATAAAGAACACTGAAAATTGTAAAGGGACTGTAAAATGACATAGGTCAGTTGACAGCCTTTGCTTAGCATATATGAAACCCTGGGTTCAATTCCCAGCCTACTATAAGACCAGTCATGGTTGTCACTTGAGTTTTTGATCTTAGCCATTCTGATTGGTGTAAGATGGAAATCTCAGAGTTGTTTTGATTTGCATTTCTGGGATGACTAAGAATGTTGAGCATTTCTTTAAGTGATTCTCTGTCATATTCCTCTGTTGAGAATTCTCTGCTTAGCTTTTTACCCCATTTTTTTAATTGGAATATTTGGTTTGTTGGTGTCTAATTTCTTGAGTTCTTTATATATTCTGGATATTAGTCTTCTATTGGATATAGGGTTGGTGAAGGATCTTTTCCCAGTCTGTAGGCTGTCGTTTTGTTCTGCTGACAGTGTCCTTTACTTTACAGAAGCTTTTCAGTTTCACCAGGTCCCATTTATTAATTGCAGATCTTAGAGCCTGAGCTGTTGATGTTCTGTTCAGGAAGTTGTCTCTTGTGCCAATGAGTTCAAGGCTCTTCTCCACTTTTTCTTCCAACAGATTTAGTGTGTCTGGTTTTATATTAAGATCTTTGATCCACTTGGACTTCAATTTTATGCAAGGTGAAGATATGGGTCTATTTGCAAGTGACAACACATGCTGGAGAGGATGTAGAGAAAGGGAACCATCCTCCATTGCTGGTGGGAGTGTAAACTTATACAACCACTTTGGAATTCAATCTGGTACTTTCTCAGAATATTGGGAATAGTACTACCTCAAGATTCAGCTATACCACTCCTGGGCATATACCCAAAAGATGCCTCACCATTCAATAAGGACATTTGCTCAACTATGTTCATAGCAGCTTTATTTGTAATACCCAGAATCTGGAAACAACCTAACTATTCCTCAACGGAGGAAAGGATACAGAAATTGTGGTACATCTACACAATGGAATACTACTCAGCTATTAAAAAAACAAGGAAATCATGAAATTTGCAGGCAAATGGATGGAACTAGAAAAGATCATCTTGAATGAGGTAACCCAGAAACAGAAAGATAGGCATGGTATACACTCACTAATAAGTGGATATTGGCCGTATAATATAGGACAGCCATATACAGACCTAAAAAAGCTAAACCATAAGGAGGACCCTAGGGAAAGGCTTACATCTCACTCAGAATGTCAAACAGATAGACACCAGAAGTGGTAGAGGAGAGGAAACAGGATGGGAGTCTACTATAAAGGGTCCTCTGAAAGGATTCACCCAACAGGGGGTCAAAGCAGATGCTGAGACTCCGGGTCAAACTTTGGGCAGAGCACAGGGAGTCTTACAGAGGAAAAGAGGAGTGGGATTAGAGGAAAATGGAGGGGACAGGAGCCCAACAAGAAGACCAACAAAACTAAAAGGTCTGAACCCAGGGGTTCCTGCAGAGACTGATGCACCAACCGAGGACCATGCATAGAGAAGACCTAGACACCCTGCTCAGATGTGGCTCATTGGCAGCTCAGTCTTCATGTGGATCTCTGACTGAGGGGATCAGGGACTCCCTTCTATCATGAACTTGGTTGACTATTCTTTGATCACTCACTGTCAGGCCATAGAGGAAGAGGATCCAGACAGTCCTGATGAGACTTAACAAGCTATGGGCAGATGGCAATAGCAGATAACTCCCCCTTTCAGTGGACTAGGGGAAGGGGATAGGGAAAGGAGGAGGGAGGATGGGACTGGGGGAGTTGAGGGAGGGGGGTTCAATCAGAACATATAATGAATAAATTGTAAAGAAAAAATTTTTTTAAAAAAGGGTAATGAACATCTATAATCACAGGACTTAGGAAGGAAAGGCAGAAAAATAAGATGTTCACTATTGACTACACAGCAAGTTCAAGAGCAGCCTGTGATACAGAAGACCTAGCATTAAAAACAGTACAGACATCTGCACACTCCCCATCATGAATAGGGGTATCTGTAATGTCACATTTCTCCTCGTGGTAATTACTTTAATGGTTGTTGAGGAGTGGTATTGTTACCTAATGGCCCAGCCACAGGAGTACTAGGTGGAGAACATAACAGGTTTAGAGGAAAAGGATGCCAAAGGCAACAGGGTGAACATAATCGCAATACATTGTACATATGTATAAAAATGTAAAAACATTTAAAAAGCAAGGAAGACTAGATGACTGGACTAGAAAACTGGGAGCCAACAATTGTCTACAAGAAACACATCTCATGAACACACATTCAGCACTCTATCAAGCAAACAGGCTGAAAACAGGCTGATACAGCTCTTGTGACATCTGATAATGTAGGGTTCCAAACAAAATCCATTAAGAGATACAGAGGGCCCATAAAACTGATTAATGAAGGGTACATAAAGTCCATTAAAAAAAGCACAGGCTAGGATCAGGATTTTCTTTCGTGTGTGTGTGTGTGTGTGTGTGTGTGTGTGTATTTTCAAGACAAGGTTTCTCTGTGTAGCCCTGGTTGTCTTGGAACTTCTCTATAGACCAGGCTGCCCTTGAACTCAGAGATCTGCTTACATCTGCTTCCAGAGTGCTAAGATTAAAGGCATAAGCTACTACTGGCCATTTTAAGATTTTCAAAGAATCAGAAAAAAAGAGGAAAAGTACTGAAGGGGGGAGAAAAGAAGAAAAAAAGTCAAATGCATAATAGAAAAAAAAGTTTAAAAATAAATCTAAGCTGAGAAAATGGGTCAATTTTTTGCTTCATAGACATAGGGCCCTCAGTTTGGACCACCAAAACCCACCGGGGGAAAAAAAAAAAAAAAGTAGGTACAGTGGCACATGCTGTTATTCTAGCAGTGGCTAGAGAAGAGGCAGAAACACGCAGATCGCTGGAAGTTCAGTGTCTCAACAAAAGGTAGACAGTGACTGAAGAATGTCCAGGGTTGTGATCTCCGTACACACGTGTGTATCCACACACGAACATATACATACATACTTGTACACATGCAAAACAGAATGAAATAGACATAAATTTATCATTTGTAGTTATTACAAAGATGGCACAATCAACAAAAAAAATACAGGAGTTAAGAACTACATGAAAATCTATAATATCAAATTACATGGAACAGAAAGACCAAAAAAAGTAACATTATGGAACACACTGCCTTTAATTAAAAAAAAAAAAAAAAAAAAAAAAACTCTTTTAAATATAACTACGGTCGTATTATTAAGAGTCAATATTACATAAATCCAAAAAATTTAGGGGAAGAGTGAGACAGGGCCTCACTATGTAGCTCTGGCTGGCCTGGAAGTCCCCATGTAGAGAACCGATACAATACAACAAACTGAAAGAAGTACTTGTTAATTCTGTGGGCACATGCATGCACAAGCACGAACATATGCCATAATTCAGATAGAAGTTGAAGAACTTCATGAGGTCAGTTCTCTCTTTCCACCTTTACAGGGAAGGTTCCAGACACAGAATTAGAGTGTTAAGTTTGTACAACCAATGCCTGTACACACTGTGCCATCTTGCCAAACCTCTAAAAAGTATTTTCTACAATTTATTATTTTATCAATGTAAATTAAACTGATACAATCTAAGAATTTTATATTGATTTCTCATTTTACTTGCTCATTTAAAAATCAAGGACCAGACCTTAGAACAGATATATGGTAACAATCTCCACCTCCCCCAATACCGTGGTACATTATCCTTACCTGGAGTGGATGGCCTTTCAAGCATGTTCAGATGATGGGAAATGAAGGCCTGACTATCATGAACAGTATCCATATCAACCTCCTCCTCATCTTGAGAACTTGAAAACTAGAACACACACAAAAAAGAATAGAGAGCCATGGCATCACTTTATGTTCAGAGAGTACCCTTCAGGACAAGTGGAAGAGAGACCAAAGAATAGACCCGTTATAATCTTAAAAGAAAACAGTGACTTCTCTTCAAAGGTACTAAATAAAAAAAAATTATTTCTATGAGCTGCATGTGGTGGCACATGCCCTTAATTCCAGCATTTGGGAGGCAGAGGAAGGCAGATTCTGTGAGTTCAAAGCGAGTTTGGTCTATAAAGACAAGACAGCCAGGGCTACACAGAGAAACCCTGTCTTGAGGGGAAAAAAAAAATCAATCAGTCAATTAATCAATAAAACAAAATATTATTATGAATAGCAACTAAAGCCCATGCCAGAAGTGTGACAAGAACTAGTGACTATGGTGGAATGTGCACACATAGTTCACAGCCCAGATGTGAAAAAATAGGCAATAAGTTAAATAACTAAAAGGAATGTTTTAGGAGACTTCAGTTCTTTAACAAGTCGGTCTTTCAAATGTGTTCCTGCTAAGGAAAACTATCTAGACAGTGTCCAGAAAGGTCCTACACAGCTAACAGAGTAACTGCCTCTTCTTCCTCAGATGCTGAGCTTGCCTTCAATGCTTGCCTCATTCTTCTCCAGTATCCACTCTAGAGGGGACCCCAGTGGTTCCCGCCTTCCTCTTCACCCCTGCTCACAACATGGTACGCTTATTACATCGTGATCCTCTTCCTGTGGCAATACTTAGAACCAAAATTAGATTT